AGATATCACGTCCAAGAAACGATTCCTAAACAAGGCAGCACAGTTCTTCACAGAACACGGAGCAATGTTTAAGAAGCGTCGTACGGCACCACCGGCAAAAGTTATTTTCGATAAGACCATTCGCCAGAACATTCTCCTGGAAGCACATGAGAGCCTCGGTCACCGCGGAATAGAAGCTGTATTTCAAACCGTTAAGCTCAGATTCTATTGGCCAGGAATGTATCAGGACGTACAACACCACGTACAAACATGTCATCAATGTCAGATCCGCAGCACTAAGAAGGTTGATGTACCATTGGCTATCAGAGTGCCTTCAACCATATTTACTCGAATTTATGTTGACATCATGTTTATGCCCAAGGCACAAGGGTATCGCTATATAGTTGCAGCTAGAGACGATCTCACACAGGCAGCGGAAGGCCGTGCACTCAAAAGAGCTGATGCTGCTAGCCTTCGGAAATTCTTCTGGCAGGAGATCATATGTCGATATGGTGCCGTTGCCGAAGTAATCACCGACAATGGAAAGGAAGTTCAAGACGCATTCGAACAACTGGTAGACATGTATGGCATTGCTCACATCAAGATTTTCCCGTATAACTCTCGAGGAAATGGAGTAGTAGAACGTGGACACTTCATCATTCGTGAAGCTATCCTCAAGTCATGCAACGGCAATATCAATCAATGGCCAGAAAAGGTCCATCATGCGTTCTTTGCTGACAAAGTGCTCACCCGGGAAAGTACAGGATTCAGTCCCTTCTACATGATGCATGGAGTAGACCCTGTGCTTCCTTTTGACCTTACAGAGGTGACTTACATGATTGAAGGGTGGAAGACCGGAATGTCCCGTACAGAGTTACTCGCCCTCAGAATTCGACAACTCGAAAAGCGACCAGAAGACCTCCAGAGAGCTGCTACCCGGGTCAAGAACACACGCCTTAGGTCTAAGCAACGATGGGAAGAACTGTACGAGCACCGATTTCTCAAAGATCCCCCGAAGGACGGCGACCTTGTCCTATTACGAAACACGGCGATTGAGAAATCACACAATCGGAAAGCAAAACCCAGGTATCTAGGCCCTTTCCAAGTCATTGGAAAATCAAAGGGCGGGTCGTATGTGATTCGAGAACTTGATGGAACGTTTATCAGGCGTGGCGTAGCACCGTTCCGGATCCTCCCCTATCGGGCTAGAATGCAGGAATATGTCCCGGCAGCCGAACTGCGGGAGGATCCGTTCGAGCGAGATGACGTCATGGATACCGGATCCAATGAGTTCGAAGCAGAACAGTTCCACGAAGAAGACGAGAGTGACGGAGAAGGATAAGAAGGCGGAAGAAGAAGTCTGAATATTCCACTCCGCCCATGAGAAATGCCAAGGGCATCCCTCATGTGAATCCTAGAAGGCTGAATTCGGGAAGCTCGACAGCGGCCCCTGAAAGAAGCCACGACAGCCAGACAAACGGCGACCGGGCGCAGTACTCTAGACCACCGAAGAACGGTCGGTCCTACGAAAGGAAACGAAGCGCCGCAAAGCGGAAATGCTTGTGGGAAAAGTAAGGAAGCCCGCACACGCAAAGTACCCGCACGCAATAGTCTGACGGCTCCCCCCATACCGCGCACGCACGAATGGGACAGTCTCCCTCTCACCTCTACGTTCGCCAACGTCCTACTATGCCATACGATGAACTGTCGTCTGGACCTAATCCGTTCCCCAGCCAGGTAGACAACGCTCTACCTTCTCGACGCGAGAAGGACGACCAACAATCCATCCATAGCCGCGACCGGCTAGAGCTTCCCAGTGATGCTCAGGATTTCGATACGACCGACAGCGACACCGACTCCAGCTCCGTGACCTTTGCCGCCAACCCAGAATACTATAATCACTTAATGACCAACATCGCTCTCTGGCAACGTCGCTCTACTACGACCCCGCAGCCGGGGGACTTGTGGAGCATCCTCGATCCCGACGACCTCGCGACCATGTCCTGGGACGAGTGGATCCCCCTCGTATTCGACTCCCCCTCTGACCGCAGCATGGCCGGATATGCGGGGCGTGACAGCTATAGCTGGTCCAACGGTCCACCCCTCCAAACCCTCCGACCCGCTCATCTTCTTCGACGAGAGGCCCTGGACGCTGAGCCTGGTCCGGCACTCCCGGCTCCTCCGTTCCCCAACCCACTTATCCCGCGCATTTGCTGCCTGGACAACGGCAGCTTCTCGATCCTCGCCGTTCCAGTCGACGTGGAGAAACCCCTCATATGGACGCTCACGGCACCCATCCTCGGGGACGTACACATAGGCATACACATTCGCATGGAGTACGCCAGCACCTGGGTGTGCGGCACTGTTCGGTCCATATTCCGACTGCACGACGACTGCGTCACCTTCTTCGTGCATGGGATCGTCGTGTTTTCCGGACAGGTCGTCAACTCGGAGCGCGTCATGTTGCGCGTCACGCCGGAGCTCGCCCGCCTTTCGATGCGAGATTGGACAAAGCACAACGTTACCAAAACCGCTGACGTGACCATGCAAGCTGGTACGTACGTCCACTACATGCTTAGATTGACTATTGTTCTAATTTAAAATTAAAACAGACGCGTTTAGTAGCTGGGAAGGACCACGGGTGGCGATGGCAAGGGAAGAGGACGCGTAAACTCGTTATCGATTTTTTTTGTATTAGAATATACGAACGCAGTGACAGGATATGCGACGGACATCGAAAGAAAAAGGAGTATACCGCAAGTAATCTGACAAGGAGCGTCCGACACGACAATGAAACGGTAACCAAGGAAAAACCGCCGACTGAAATCTATTGTTGGCATACTCCAGGCCTCGGCGGCCCCACGCAGAAGGATTTAAGTTTAGCAAAGATCGTCACAGAAGGCCGAATCAATACAATGTACCATTCCTCTCGAGTCACCAAACTGAATTATCGAAGCGTCAGATGAGCCTGAGAGAACATCCAATCACACGTGAGATGGAACCGCACCGGAAAAGCATGCCAACTATCCTACGCTGCACGAAGCCTCGTGCAGAGCAACACTTAAGTCATGGCTCGTTCCCTTCAGCTCTACCAGGAAACCGCCCGTTCTATCGTAAAGACGCCATGCAGCCGCTTACTGAGATCTCCCTTTCTGATCACGACGACCATCCTCTCACTCGACATGGACCTCCCGCCAGCAACACGAGCGAAGTCGTAAATGCACTCTACACGTCTGGCAATGAGGGCGCGCCCGCGTCGTCGACAGTAATCACACCACCCCGACTTCGCCGATACCTTTCTATCCCATCATCCCCACCAGCTACGACAGCTACCAACATTGCTCTTACAAGCCAGAGCGAGTCCGGCACCCCCGCTAGCTCGACAACGATCACGTCGTCCGCTACTACCGACGCCTCTACAGGATCTACCAGTGCAGTATCTCGCGCTGAGGAAGATTCAGTCGCCCTCCACTTCCCCCCGCCAGGGCTTGCTAGGGCATACCCTCCTCAAGGCTGCTACGTAGTTGCGCCTATTGGCACGCGACTTCATCCCTACGTCTTACCTCCCCGTCCTGGGAACTTATGGCGCACTATCCTGGAGGGAGCCCTCGGTAGTCCTCGCACCTTCAAGCGAGTCGACTTGGTCTTTCGGGATGTCGCAGAGACCAGACCTGAGCGCAGCAGTGGCGCAGGCAGTTCACTCCTTGGCCAAGACGACTCAGGACTTGATGTCCATTACTCTACATCCCTCATCCGCGTCGACGCCTTAGATGAAGAACCAGGCCTGTCTCCTACGCTAGGCCCTCCCCCTCCCCTTCGATTTGCCTTATCCATCAACGACCACGACCAACGACATCGTACCGACTACCCGCCGTATGCTATGCACCCTACTCCCGCCAACCCCTTCGTATGGAACTTGATGGCTCCAGTTGGTCAGGAGATTCGTATGGGACTACGTCTCAGCGCATCCCACGGCGAGGTCGCCATGTACGGCGAGGTATTCAAGATCTACCGCCTACACTGGGACTGCACCAGCTTCTACGTCAACGGCATGGTCCGCGCATACGGCCACGACTACCGCGCCAACAATATTATTATTCGCATGCCGTCCCACGCAGCCAGCATCACCTTCCGTCAGTGGCGTTTCCACAATCTCAGCAAGCTCACGGCAGCGGAAGGTCCGTAAGCACGGACGCGGAGTAGAGATGCCGGCCACTGCAGGGTAGCGTTGGATACCAATGGCATAGGTAGTACGAACATCGATTAGCCTCTCGCGTATAGTGTACCCCCCCCCAGACGAACAGCAACAAATAGCATGCTGATGACCATAAGATGCCTTGGAGTATGAACGGAACATTAGGAACGAAAATAAGTTTGGAGAGAGTCAAGTGAGTGACGAGAGGATATGACTACATAGGCGGACTAGTGGCCCCTATACACAAGATAAACCACTACTTTCCTTGCAACAAGAACCTTTACCATGCGACCAAGAACAACCGAGGGCGGTTGTCTCTGAAGCGCCACCCATGATGTCCCGCCCCTAAAGTGAATAGGTGCGGAACTACTCGAAAACCTCCATTTTTTATTCATTCTGCAGCCTCTCTGTTATGTAGTAGTATAGAATCTAAGTAGAATAGACCAATCATGTACCTTAAACTGGCCCAGGAAAGTTTGACCATATTAGGAAAAGGGATTACCAAGCGGTGCCCAAGCTTAGTCAGCACATGACAAATCATGACTCGGCTGAGTCAGAAGCTGACTCAGCACTGCTAGGATTACTAATATGACTCAGAAAGCTGGCCTAGCTAAGGAGTATAAAATGTAGCCGAATCGGCATGAATGAGCAATCAATCAGTTCCCCCCGAAAAGTACTCAGCAGTCGTCTGCTAAACTCTCTCTCTGTCAGGACTCGAGTGCCTGGACAGCTTCCCTATCGACTCTATA